TACCTAAAAAGGACAAAGGACAACTTATCAGATGTGGATTTGATGTGTTCTTCATCGTACATGAAGGTAATATTAATACATTTAGATTTTTCACTGTTGCACAAAACAAGTTATGTAACCAACTTTGTCTAAAATCTTAATTTTAAGAGACACAATTATTCACCAGAAATATCTTTTTGGATTTTAGTTGAACAAAACAAGCAGCTTGAAATTGTCACACAATCAAAATAATTCATTAGTAATTGAAAATTAATCAGCAGATTAATCAATGAAAAATAAAACAGACATTTACAGCCAGATATTGTCCACAGTGACATTAATGTCTCCACTGGTTTGTGATTCTTGAACAATGATTGAGGAAATGTATTCCTTCAGGATAATGTGACAGACATATAAATAGCTTCTTCTAAGTTAAATAAGATAAAATATTAAAAACAAGTAACAGAGGGATGACAGTTCTTTGGAAGTTGTTTGGGAGCAAACGCAGGAATCAAGATACAGTTGGACTTCAGTGTCCAAACCGTGTGAGGTCAGACTCAGACCAGGCTTTGTTCTGAACTTATGTTCCAGCCTTTAAATCAGCCCATGAGTCAGTCTTGGAAGAGCAGCAGCCATGATACTGTGATAGCAGCGCCACTGGCAAGTCAATGCATTCCTCACATTATTTTTTTCTCAGAATAAAACAAGCAAACAACGGTGCACAACTGGGAGCTCAACACGCACACTCAGACTAACTCACTCTAGGGCCAGCAGGGTCTGATGTTTAATACAAGTCTTCCGTATTGTTATTATAAAATGTGGATGAAGGACCATGCATTGACAGGAGTTCCCTTAGGTGAAATGAAATTAATGAGAAACAAAAAAGAAAAGCAAAACAGCCAGGGTTGTCTTTTGAAAAGGGGATTTACATGCAGGGAGGAACCACAGATGAAGGAACTAATGTGAAAGTTGGGCTTAGGAGGCCTTAAAGAGGGAAACTCTGCAGCAGCAAAGAAATGAATGAGTCCAAACACACAAACATAGGAGCGTCTGGGCGGACGAGCCTGAGGCCAAGAGAAACAGACTCATGTGGAGAGGGAAGCGGACATGCCCTTGTCGGTAACAACCCTTTATTACTGCTCTTGCCATCATACATTAACCTCTAGGAAAAGGTGTTGGAGAGCTCGTCCGTGGGAGAGGACTCAGTTCCTTCTCTATGTGAAACCTGAGAGCACAGCGGCCATCAAAGCCAAATGGTTCACTCCAGTTTGAACCATATGAATGTTGACCAAGATTTCCTTTAACAGCACAGACTGCTGTCGAGAACTATTACAGTCCGCTCGAATCAGAGACACATCAACTTATGTCACAGACAGTCGGGGCAAACAGTGACTGCTGGGCCTTCACGCAGCTCTTTGGCATTCAGCACCATGTTTATCTGGCTGGTAGCTCCATGAGATATTTCACTTCTCCCTGCAGCACATGAGGGTTTCCTCCTGATCCTACAACAGGCTCCACCTCTTGACCTACATAAGAGTCCATGCTCAAATCTTAAAAGACATGTTAACATAGGGCAAATTAAACAAACCCTCAGTATCACGCTGATGTTTATATTTCCCGACTCTCAGTTTATAAAACGCCAATAAGAAAAGGCTCTTAAAGAAACAGGGGGGTGTTAAAAAAAGCAGTGTTTGTAGCAGGAGTTGGCACGAAATGAAACAGGCTCAGACGCAGACCCTGACCCACTCTCGTCTCGTCTGTCAATGAACATGGGATATGGTGTAGAGTGAATGTAGAGCACACAGGTGCCTGCCAATCAAAGAGCTATTGACGAGAGCACATTCACACAAGTATCTCTCTGCAAACACAGGAGCCACTGATAAGCATGTTGTGCTGCAGAATCTAGGTTACTGCTCCAACAAGGAAGGACGACTGTTTAACTATCCAGCGTTTCAGAGTCCTGCACAAAACATGCTCCGAGTGTGACTTATTGAGGGTTTTAAAATACCACTTGCCCTATTTTTCAATCTGTCAGTGTAGAATAAGCTACAGCCGCAACATTTGCTGATTATACATTGCATCTGAATGAGTTCCATGTGGAAAGAACAAACTCTTCAGTTTGTTAAATGTATGTTGTGGTTTTCCACAGTGCAAATAAAATCAATTCAGTTTGTGTCAGCAATTTTACACAGATAAAGACAATAAATGTGATTACAGTATATCTAACACATTGATAGGGATAGGGATTCCCGTTGTTCAAAAAATAAGGCCAACAAATATGAATTATGCATCACATGTGACGATAGAAAAACAGCCTCAATTAGAACAAACTACAGTGTTATCACAACAACCCTGAATATAAATGAGCATAAAGAAATCTTTGTCATGGTGGTTCAGGGATTTCTTATTATTTATCAGCTTATGAATGTAACAGTATTATAAAACTGTGGACGTATTCGTCTGGCTTTAGTATTCTCATTCTTTTTTCTGCTATGCAGAATCTGGAGCCATCACCATTTATCGATAAATTGGTTTGTTTGTTTACTACCAGAGCCCCAGATAAGAGTTCAAAAACTGTAAATGAAAAATGAAGTGAAGTTGTTTTCATCAGTTGCAGCTGTATCAGAAACTAAATGTAGGTTTCAGAATCCCAGCACATCACAGGTTATGAATTCAGAACAATAGACATATTTGGCTTTTAGGTATCAGGCCTGCACCAGACTTATTAGAGGGGTGTGGAAAAATATGGAAAAAGCAGAGGACAGCAGTCCCTTCTGGAAACCCAGACGAATATGATCCCATGACAAAACCTTATCAAAGAGCGACATCAGGGACAATCAGAGGCACAACACCGTGCTCCCTGCTGAAGTGTCACTAAGCAAGGCACAGACTTCTGACTCCTCCAGCATATCTGCGCCATAGCTCTTTGTCCAGAGAGAAAGCAAAAACATAATGTCTGTATGACGATAGATTCATAGTTCATACTGCTGATGTTGGGCTCAAAATTCTGAAATAGTCTCTGTCCACACCAGCTTCACTGGGCTGCTCAGACAGGTGATAAACACACTGCAGTTTTCATCAAGGGAAAAACACAAATACCAAAAGAATAGTCAAACAGAGAGACACATCAAATCTCCACAGACATATGATTTCACTTACTGGTTCTGTCATTTATTGAGTCTTCAGCAAATATAAACTCTGCAGATCTGACAAGGGAACTGAGTGACCACACTTACTTATTCATCACACAATCACAGAGAAAAAAGTGTAATCCCACAAAACATGTCTGAACATATACAACAGGATAAGTCACCCCGAAACAGGAAGTACAGTTGACTCTGATGAGTTGTGAGGCAGGAAATGAAACAGCATACAGTTATAACTGAGTCTGCTGACACCTTGAAACAAAAGTAAAATTAAAACTCAGACATACCCCCTGTTT